AAACCCTAAGCCTAAACCCTAAAACCCTGAACCCTGAAACTCTAAACCCCAAACCCCGCTAAGGCCCCACAGTGGCATTACGCAGCATTGCTCTGTCCTTCGGCGAGGCTTGGAATACGGACAAGCTTGCAGTTCACGGCTTAGGGTTTTCGGTTTCGGTTTGGGGTTCAGGGTTTAGGGCTTAGGGTCTGCGGCTCGGGATTTTAGGTCTAGAATGTAGGGTTTAGGGGGCTGGAATGCCCATTTGCTGAATTTCATGAAACCCCCCGCAAACTTGAAGTTTCAATTGTGGTAGCATTGTGTATACGCCAACAGGCTGAAGACCAGCAACCCAACTACTAGGCTTTTAGGGATTAGCATGTGGGTCTTTTGGGCCTATCCGCCTACCAAGGCAGAATCATTACGTGTAGTCCGTCTTCAGAACTTGTTTACAAACTACGCCCTAAACTCAAAACCCAAGACCTCAACCCTAAAATCAAAGCTCCCAACCTCCAAGCCTCTGCTCACAAACCCAAACCTATAGATCTTAAACACTGAGCCCTAAGAACTCTTAATTCTATGGCCTTAACTTCCCTAACCCCCGGCCCCAAACTCTAAACCCTAAACCCTAAGCCCTAAACCGCGCTCATACAAAGCCCTTCAGGATCGCCGGCCTTTGGGAACAACGCGCCGAAGTCAATGGGACGACGAAGAACCAAGAGTCGCCGTTTCTGTCCGCTTGAATGAATGCGTTTAGGGTTTACCTGGGCCCCCACAGAAGAGGTAAAATCATTGCCCAAATCACTAAAAACAGCCCAAAAGGCTTATATTGTTTTACACACTTTTGGGGCTCAGGTAGGGGTTTCGGGGCTAATTTTGGTTTGAGGGCCCAGATTGCAGGAGTCCGGTTTAGGACTCTGGGTTGTCGTCTTTAGATTTAGGGCCCGTCAGCACGATTATACGGCGACTAGCGGGACCTAAACACTTACCAATTCAATATTTTAGGAAAAGGGAGAATCGGCAAGGAAAAGCACATGGAAACTAGTATTTTGGGGTAGGTTGGGGGTTCAGGTTTAGGCTTAGGGTTTAGGTTTAGGTTTCGGACTATGAGGACTATCTGAGGGTTATAAGGGAATATCTCAGGAGTAAAACCGATTGTTGAAGGATTGCGAGGATTCGGTAGGGATTTGGGTTTAGGGTTTAGGGTTTAAAGGCAATTGTGATATCCCGAATGCTTGATATTCAGGGTTCTAATCATCCGATACCCTAAACCCTTAACCCTAAACCCTAAACCCTAAGCCTTATATTCAGGGTCCAAGTTCTGAGGGCTCACTGAGGCTGCCAACACCCCTTGTTTCGAAACCCTCTAAGGGGTTTAGGGTTTAGGGTCTAGGGTCTAAACCCTAAACCGCTAAACCCCTAATGTGTTGAGGGTCTTGGGCTGAGGTTGCGTGAGGGTTGTGGAGTACGAAGCATGAAGACCATGTAAGCCAATCGGCTTTTAACCTGTAGAAGCAAAACCTGAATCATGAGAGAAATAGATGCCAGAGAGAAATAACCAAGAGGGTCCAAGTACCCAATAATTAAATACTCGGGTAATAGTAATTGTAGTATAGGTGTTGGGTAAGTATATGATTATTAGGTACTTGGACCCTTAGGGAAAATCCTTTATGGTTCAGGGGTTTAGGGGTTGTAGTCTCAATAACTAGCTCCAATGTTTGCTCTAACACCCATTTGCGTATCATGCTTTTGAATTCGGTTTGACCTCTTCCCTGTACGAGTAAAGGTTTGTAGGTGGTATGGCAAACAAGAGCACTACGCAACACAATTCCTGCAGGCAATTCACTGAGCTAGCGAAATTCTGAACTGCATTGATGGGGGGGGTGTTGTGAACCTACGGGGGCTCTCGGGGACCTCTATAAACGGATGAAGGAATTATTCGGACATTGTAGGAGTTCAGTTCGGGGGAAGGGACACTTGAGAAACTCGCCCATGGAACGGAATCCCCTAAACCCGAAGCCCTAATCCTCTTCAGCAACCCTACACCCTAAACCCAAAACCCTAAACCTGTAGACTCATTGAAGCATGAGCCAGCTTTCTGGAGTCAGGCCTCGGGCTAGCTCCCAGATGAATGGGAGGTTTAGGGTTTAGGGGTTTAGGGGTTTAGGGGTTTAGGGGAAGCAGAGCCTGGATGTCAATCTGAGGTTATAAAATTCCTGGTGGTTGGCAAGTTCAGCGATGAGCATGAAAATGTTGTTCCGAGCCAATCCGACTGGGTTCACGCTTTAGGGCTGAGGACGCTAAACCCTAAATCCCTAGACCGGTAAACCCTAAACCCCTAAACCCCTAAACCCTAAACCCCCTAAACCCTAAACCCCTAGACCCTAAACGCCGCTTAAGGTTTAAGGTTTTAGGCTTCTTCCCAGCTTTGGCTCATGGGGCCGGGACCGGCCTGAAGCCATGAAGAATATGGAGAAGACTGTTGATACTAAAAATCCTGCATGACCCGGGTTTAGGGTTTAGGGTTAAAAATCCTGCCTGACCCTAGTATACTATACTAACATTATTCCCAAGGTATAAGGTACCCAGGGTC